AAAACTATGATAATAATGATCTTTTTCACAACAAGAGTGTTCGACACTCTTCCCAAGTACAAGTTATCAATCACTTTAGGCATCTCTAAATACATATACCCTGAGAATGGAAGAATGATGAAAGGAAGACAATAAAATTTACAAGCCAAGTTCTATAACCAAACCTATGGATAAACCAAGAATACCTTAAGAAATGAACTGATCTCATCCTTATTTCATAGCCTATTTATAGTCATAACCCTAACCAAAGTGTAATCTGGACCATTTATTACGAGTTTCAAATTACATCGTAAATAGGTAAAAAAAATAAAGAAAACACGAATCAGTCCCAGATGCTCACGAAGAGGAAACCACCCAAATTTCACTGTTTAAACTTTAAAGTCATCCCAGAGGTCTTTGTAATGAGATACAATTGAAAAGTTACACTAATCAAAGGCACACTGCTTCATAAATCTTCATATGTGTGTCCAGCCATCGGATCATTAGCAAGTCGAATAGGTTTGAGCCAACAACTTTCTCATATATTAATTACGGTCCAGCTACTTGTACAAGTCTACATTATTCTCAACTCACTCTCAGCCTTTTCAATTCTAAAATTTATATGCGTCTTTGGATCCAAGATTTTCCCTTAGTAGAAAAAGCATGCAAACACACATTCGCCAAACTATCTATGCTCTCAAACTTTATTGTTGCTAATATGCCAAAAGATATTTTACTCGTGTGGTAGTAAATCCCTAGGTAAAACCCCACCTAGAATTAATTTTAGGGCCATCTGTTCACCACCAATTTTCAGATGGTGAGATCTAGGTGTAAGAAAACTCAAATCTTTTTTTTTTTTGATAATAAATAATAATTTAATAATTCTTAAGTGGTTCTCAAAATTTCAAATTGAAAAAAACCTCCCAAATAGGTCTCTAACCTTGGGAGTTTAAGTAAACTATGCTTCCGAGAATCCGAGGGAGCGTAGTATATGTAGGGTTGAGAATGTGTTGGATTGGGTTTGAATCCATCGGGATTTGAAATCGGATTCAAAAAGTATATATGGGAAATCCGGATTCGATTGGTCGGATCTAAAAAATTATTTTGTATTATTTATGTGTATCAAATAATATACAACAAAAAATCCCATATATCATATGTGTATCCAGATCATATCGCCTGTATGTAGACCGATCCGAATTATTATTGGATCCAGATCCGACCCGTCATATCTAAATTTTTAAATCTATACCTAGGGTCCGAAATTCAAATTTCGGATCCGGGTAAATTCGTAGCCCTAAGTATCTATGTGTCCACATTGCTAATTGGGTAGAGGGAGAGAGAGTTTTATGACATGAGGGTAGAGAGAGAAACTTGGGAGTCATTTTTTTTTGCGAATGCAAGTTCTGTTTTTTGAATGAAATGAATCACTTGTCCA